TTAGATCGGACGCCCGTGTGAACAATTTCTTGGCAGTTGGAAATGGAAAAGACAAAATTTGGAATTAAAAATCTACCTAAAGTATTTCAGGATCCTTGTTGGTGCTACAGAGCCTGTGCACTGTGCTGAGCTTCTTCAGATTCAGACTTGAGTTAGAAGAAGAATGGAGCACTTATGGGTTACACCCGTGTGCCACAAAGTTGATCCCTTTTTCAAAACCTCAAGAAAGGCACAAAGGAATAGGCCTACCCGTAAATGAATGTAAAGCACCCTTTTTCAGGCCTTCAGGCCTACTGGGCAGACAGGGCTCAACCTATATTTTATAGACCAATGGGCACTTGGTGGGTGGTGGGGTCAGCTTCACACACCACCTCTACTTCCCAGGACTTTTAAATGGTACCCATTTAAGGCTGGGTCGACCCGGGAGCCAAAGTCATTTTTGAACAAAGTCCAGATTTGAAAATATGACTTTCTGATTTGTGGGCGAGCGTCTGGCTGCTATACCACAGCGGCTCCTGTAAATAAATGTAGCCAACAACATATTGTACGCTCATATCTGTTTGTTGTGGGATGTGTACATACCTATTTATGCACTTACATATGTCTTAGGAGCCACAGTAAGGGGACAAAACAGCAAATTTAACACAAATATTTTACAACAACAACAACACACAAAAAAGTTACCATGTCTTATTTCTGTTTTAACTCTTTGAGTCCCAGGGGGTTTAGCATGAGAGGCCCAAGGGTTACCAGAAGGGATGTAAAATCAGCGCATCTTGCATTCATTGGGCCTCTAGGCGGGAACCTATCAATGTATGATGTGTTCCTTGGGACTCAAAGAGTTAAACAACCATCTGATTTCCTCTGGGTAAAGATTTAACATAACAGCATTCGGGAGAAGCCCACATCAGCTCACTCTCCCTCCTCATCGGTCAGCAGGGAATTTACACACTGATGGTACCCACTGTTTCACTAGATATCCTTTTCGCCAGTCAGCTGGTATTTCTTCGGTCTCCCAGACTTTACATGTAGCAATTCTGTTGATATGTTTATATTGGACCTAATAACTTCTGCTGGCATACCATCAGAACCTGCCGCCTTTCCTTCCTTTAGAAGATACCCACTTACATTAGACAACCAAAGACACTGATATGCTTCATGCAAATATAACACAAACAAAAACTGTATAGATCTAACAAAATATTATAAAAATGAACAGAAAATGTAAAGTTCTCTGAAAATAAAAAAAAATAGACAACCAGAAAGGGCGATATATCTCATGGAAGTATTATACAAACAAAAGATGCTGGTTTAACTTCTGAAATTATCATCATCATCATCAGCCTGTTGTGGGCCCTATGGTGGCATAGCAGTTGGAGGTTCACCTACAAGCCTAAAGGTCCTTTACTATGGGTTTCGATTAAACAGTAGACAACCACAGATGCTGACATCCCTCATAAAAATATAACACAAACAAAAATGTACAGATCTCACTAAATATTATACAAACCAACAAAAATGTACAGGTCTCTATAAATGATCAACAACCAGAGAAGGCGATAGGAAAATATACACAAACAAAAGACAAGAATATACCTCAAGAAAATATCACACAAACAAAAGACAAGAATATACCTCAAGAAAATATCACATAAACAAAAAACAATGATATACCTCAAAAAAATATTACACAACCATAAGACAATGATATACCTCAAGAAAATATCACATAAACAAAAGACAATGATATACCTCAAAAGAATATTACACAACCATAAGACAATGATATACCTCAAGAAAATATTACACAAACATAAGACAATGATATACCTTAAGAAAATTTTACACAGACAAAAGACAATGATTTACCTCAAGAAAATATTACACAGACAAAAGACAATTATATACCTCAAGAAAATATTACATAAACAAATGACAATGATATACCTCAAGAAACTATTACATAAACTAAAGACAATGATATACCTCAAGAAAATATTACAAGAAAAAATACACAAAAAGACAATGATATACCTCAAGAAAATGTTACACAAACAAAAGACAATGAAATACCTCAAGAAAATATTACACAAACAAAAGACAATGATATACCTCAAGAAAATATTACACAAATAAAAGACAATGATATACCTCAAGAAAATATTACACAAACAAAAGACAATGATATACCTCAAGAAAATATTACACAAACAAAAGACAATGATATACCTCAAGAAAATATTACACAAACAAATGACAATGATATACCTCAAGAAACTATTACATAAACTAAAGACAATGATATACCTCAAGAAAATATTACACAAATAAAAGACAATGATAGACCTCAAGAAAATATTACACAAACAAAAGACAATGATATACCTCAAGAAAATATTACACAAACAAAAGACAATGATATACCTCAAGAAAATATTACACAAACAAAAGACAATGATATACCTCAAGAAAATATTACACAAACAAAAGACAATGATATACCTCAAGAAAATATTACACAAACAAAAGACAATGATATACCCCAAGAAAAAATCATTATCATCACCCTGTTATATCATTTGTACATCCATATAGGGCTCACAGTCTCTTTCTTCTTGTTCATCCCGGACGTAAATGCATCATGCCCATCTACAGCAGATATTTATACCTATCGGCCAACACATCTGACTTCTTCGGCTTTGCTGACTCAGCGATTTTGGATTCCTCCATTCAATTAAGTCCTGTACAATCATTTCCTTCTCACATGTGGAAGTTAATCCAGAGCAATGTGAACAAAATAATGACAATTCCAACACACATAAAAGTCTACAAAATTCTCGAGAGAAAAAATTAGAACACAGATTTAAAAAAAAAAAAACATTTTAAAATACTGGATATGTAAATACTCTTAAGTTCAGCTAAAAAAAAAAAAAAAAAAAAAACAGAAAGAAAAGAAACTATGAGGGTTTGACTACATGATGCTGGTGCTTGTGTTATGTCTGTCAACATTCTGCTGCCTAGGAGATTTTTGTTGCATTTGTTTGTTTGTAGTGGTGGGGGTGTTACTGTAGGACCCTGAAAACATCGCAGCAAACATTAAACATTGTTGTGAATTTGAATAGATCTGAACAAAGCAGATGATAAAGCCAAATAAATTAATATTCCTAACTTAACTCTTTGACTCCCAAGGAATGCATCATACGTTCATAGATTCCTACCTAGAAGCCCAATAAACGCAAGATGTGCTGATTTTACGTCTCTCTTGACTACCCCTTGGGCCTGTGATGCTAAACCACCTGGGACTCAAAGATTTAAAATGAAATCAACCACTCAAAAGCAACCAAGTGTTAGTTTTAAAGAATTTTTTTCCAAGAATTCCCACCGGTTCATGACCTATTTGATTTGTAATCCCAGGGTAAAAGGATTAAACAACCTATGCTTTACCAGTATTACTTTATCACATTTGTCCCTAAGTGTTGTTACTTTAACCCCTCTGTGTGTAAACATTAGTTACTGTAGGTAACAAATGCTCAGAAATCTTCCTGTGTGGACTCCAGGGCCCTATTGTAGAAAAGGGAGGGGTGGTGGGGGGGGGGGGGGGTGGAGAGTAGACCCACTGCCCCACTAACAAACATGTCATAAAAGTCAATGAAGCTGGAATGCATCTGCCTGAGAGGTAAGGAACCAACAGTCTGCATACAAAAAGCCTGATGTGTAAAATAGGTGTGCACATAGAATGCAAGTTCTAGAACAAGACAAGTCCAGAAATAGATAAGCAACCAGAAATGTCTACCTATAAACATGAAGAAAAAGACTTAGGAATTTAAGAGTTAAAAAGATATCTGCTTAGCACTAAACGTTACTTGACTGATTAAAATTTTTTAACGCTATTTTTTTTTTTTAACCTGAGTTTAACTTTTCACTTAATTAAGTTTTTCTTAACTACAATTTTTATCAAATGAAATTATTTTTTTTTCTGATTAATCAGTTTTTAGCTAATTAAGCCAATCTTTGTGAATAAATCATGTTTATTTAAGTCAGCTGTTTTAGATGACTAACCTATTTGGAACTAACAATCCAGTTTACCAAGTTAAGTTATTTTAACTGATACAAGCATTTTGATCTAATTAAGCTATTTTATCTGTAGCAAACCAAGTATTGGGACAGCTATCCCCCCCACTACTCTTCCTTTTACAGTAGTGACATGACCATCCCAATCAGCACAAAGAAATATCTCATCTAAGCATATTCATTCCACCTTATGCTATCAGTGCCAAAAACGGTCACTCTCAACAAACCAGAAAAGGAAATTAGTAACCATGGACATGAGACATTTGAGAAGGGCTGCAGGAGTGACCAGACGAGATACAATTAGGAATGAGGTTGTAAGAGAACAGGTTGGCACAGAACCAATTCTAGATTACATACAAAACCAGCAAATCAAATGGTTTGTCCATTTAGAGAGAATGCTTTGCAATGCCATACCACACACAGCATACATCCAAAGAAGAGAGGGACACAAGAAGAAGAAGATGGAAACACCAGAGAAAATACAACAGCATGATTCTATGGTCGAGGCGCCCCAGAAGCAGAACCACAGGTGCTTTATTAATATCCTAGCCCAAACAGGGGAAATCCATAGGTCATGGGACAGCCTAATATTTCAGGGGTTGGTAGATAGGTTGCATGCAGTTGTGGGACCTAGGCTGCATGCAGTCGTGGGACTCAGGCTGCACTCTTTCGAGGGACGTAGGTGGGTTGGGGTTAGGGCCAGTTATATATGTTTTGGGGTCGTTAAAATCATCATAAGCCGGGAAACCCAGTCTATTAACCCTCTAAAATGTTGGACTGTCCTGTGACGTCATCTGGGGTAGGATATTAATAAAGCACCGAACCACATACTTCCCTTGACACCCGAAGCAGTGAGAGAGAAAGCAAAAAGTTTTTCTTTATGAAAGCCATTTTAACTGATCTAGCCAGTTTGTACCTGGTTAAGACCTTTAAACCATAGTCTCAAGAAGTTTGTCCGGCTCACGTTGGGACCTGTATTTAATCTGTGCAGTAGGAGGATTGCTATGTGGAGCTGCACTTTCAGCTTCTAGTGTCTCTTCCTGAAGAGGATATAGTGAGGCAGCTCCAGGTTCTTCATATGCCAGGTAATTGGGTCTGGTTGTGTAGCGAAATCTGGAAGTCTTCACCGTATAATCTTTGAGAGGTTTGGCAAGGACTTCAGTCTGTGAACAGATAAATTAGTAAGTATACACCTTTCCTTTGGAGTAAACAAGGCAGAATGAGGGAGGGATCATGCTGCATGGGTCAAATTTGGTCTCTAAAATACTGTACTAACTTTATGTTGTGCAAAGGAGAAACTTCACCAGGCCTCAACTGCTGAGCAGGTCCAGCTGATCATACTTGTCACCTATGATTCCCATGCCTCCTCCTAGCACATTATATAACTATATCATGTAGAAAGATGGGAGGGCACCGGCGGCCGGGGCGCCCATTGGCTGGCTGGCTGACTTTGTCGCCGGGCGTGACAGTTTTTGAATCTTGTCTCGTTTGATCACATCAACACTGCAGGAGTTCTTGTCACGGCTCTTGGTGGCATGCAATGCTAAGTCATTTTATATGGCGCACATAAGCTAGTCACAATTATAACCTAAAGCTTTCCCTTCAGGGCTGCTGGTTGAAGGTGAAGAATTTTAATTTTTTGTTCTAGCCAAGCACCAAGACGCCAACAAATAAAAACAACAACAAAACACATTCAAACACAGATGTTCTGACGAGACTGGGAATGAAAAGAGAGTTGCTGAAAAAAATTTTTAAAAAGAGAAGTGAAATATTTCTGTCACTTTACAAGATATAACTGCCCTTTCAAACTGCCTTTATATACCACTTCTGTAGACAGGGGGGTTTTTGAGTCCGAGGATTTAAGGCCACATGGTTAGTTCTGTCGCCACGACTGTACAGGTGAGGATTTTATCCCCCCCCCCCCCCTCCCGACAAAAAAAATTCCCCCAGCCTTACCGCGGATTTGAATCTGGGTCTCCCGCACAAGAGCCCAGTATTCTAACCATTCGGCCAACCGCTCCTCCTGCCTTTTAACTTCCCCTTTATCAAACATGTTGTCGAAGGAAACTAACTGAAGGCTTGCTGGTATCAGCTGTGCTGGTTTACTTGCAGCACCAGCTCTTGTAACTCATGCCTGCAGAACACAATTACCCATGTGTGCTTTTTGATTCCTTGAATATGCTTAAGACTGAGACAGGATGGGTTTGAAGACAATGAGGTTTAGGTTAAGATGACAGATCAACACCCTGGCACAAGGGTAGTAACCCATAAGTGCTCTGTTCTACTTCTGACTCAAGCCTGAGTCCGCAGAATCTCAGTGCAGTGCATGAACTTCGTTGTACCAGCGAGGATCTGGAAATATTTTTGGGTGGATTTTAAATTCAAAATTTTGCAGGGGCAGCGCCGTTAGGTTGCTCTTTTTCGATTTCCAACTGCCAAGGGATTTTTTTCATGTGCGCAAGAATACACATGGGTGTCTGATCTTACTACCCAGAGTCCTGGGAAATTACTAGAAGTCCACGTGAAAAAATCCTAGCCTTCACTGGGGCTTGAACCTGGGACCTCCAGCACTGGAGGCAGACGCTATGCCTTGAGACCATACAGTCTCTAAAGACTAAAATAAATGTGAGACAATATCAACAATAATGTTTAAAGACAATGACTGCAGCCTCAAAGGAAAATCTTGTCTAACAGGAGTCAGTTTCATTTTTGCGCCAGGTCACACTAGGGTCAAAGGGAATAAATAAGCAGAGTGGTTTGCTGGCACGGTAGGGAAAGGAAAAGCTTTGGACTGGGCTGAAGTTCTCAATACTCTCAAATGGGCAGGGTGAGTAGGGGATTCAGCAAAAATGACAATACTACAAGAACTTCATGTCCTACACTGCCCTATGCCTCATGACCTCCATGCACTATATCACCCTGAGTGTCAAGGCCCCATGTCCAATACCACCATAAGCCTCAAGACCCCCCCCCCCCCCCCCCCCCTTTCCATTCAACACTGCCATACGCCTCAGGACCAGTGTTGCCACTTTGGATCTTTTACATCCAGATTTAGATGTTTTCCCGTGCATTTAGATGGCATTTTTGACGTTTTAAGTGGTAGATGTTTTCTAGATGTTTTTCATTTGGAGTGAATTTATCAAATCTAACCTAAGAAACAGTATGAAATTGGACCTTTTAAATGCTATCTTGACAATAAAATTCGGCCTGATAAGAGTAGGAAAAGGCTGTTCAACTTATCAGCTCCCTGATTGGGTATTAAAAGAAATTGGAACAGCTAACACATACGAGTCATTTTGGATCTGAAGCTTCAACTTCATCATCCAAGCTAAGTTTACCCTGTGGATCTTGTAAGGCAGACCTGAGTTAAGATGTGGACAGGATTTTATAGGATACGTCATATCAATTGCTATGCAATTTGTGACTCTTTCCATCTGGATGTTTATTTTAGATGTTTCCACACAAATTTAGATATTATTTGACTCCATTTTGGATCTTTTTTGTCAAAGAAAAGTGGCAACACTGCTCAGGACCCCTTGACTTACACCATCCAAAGCTTCACCACCAGGTGTCCTAAACCATCCTAAACCCTCAGCTCCAAGTCCCCCTGTGGTAAATACAAGCAGTAAAATCATGCAAACAGGGCTGACTGCAGTCAAGCTGATACCAGGAAATTAATCTACGGAAACTGTGACTGTGGAAAATATTGATCTAGGTGCTCTGCCCCTTGTCGCTAGAGTTGAGGTTTGTGTCAAGAAAGACTCTGGCCAAAACGTCAGATTGTTCTTGTGTGTGGATTCGCTGATCTCCTCCCCCCCCCCCCCCCTTTTCCGCCCTTGTTAGTAGATTAATTTAAAATCAGTAAAGATCTTTGTTTTTTTGTAAACAGTACAAACCTTGAGTGGCTGGCCCGGCGCTGCTTCTTTAGCCAACAACAGTTGCTCCTGCTGCTTGGCTTTCCTCTCATTACGTTTATCCTGTAACAGGAGGAAAAGCACTATGACAATATATCACCATATATAATGTATAAAAAGCACAACACCATCAGTTCTCTGCTAGAGGCAGAACACACCCTAGTCAAGGTTCTCTGATTATCCAAGGACAGTCTGGGGGATTAAAATCCTTCTAGCTCGTTACAGGTTAACGGTTATTCTTCTTTTGCCTTTCTAACCCCCAATGCAGCAAAGGCCCTCAACCAACTCACGCCAGGTCATTTTATCCTTCGCTATCACATACAGCTCTTTAACGGTTAATGCAAATATCAAATCACTTTAACATTCTATGCTGATGAACAGCCAATTCATTCACGAGTCTTCCTTTTTTGAAACATCCAATCCTCTCTGTCCTGTAACCTCCAAGCCTTTTCTCTTTGTCTCCAAGCCTCACTTGATCCGTTTTTCCCCATGGCTCATCAAGTTACATTCATCAGTCTCATGTCACTCGTTTGTTTACAGTACGGGGTCGATCACTGTCTGGCGAATGTTCAGTAACTCCAGTCTGGTCTATCTTATTGTTGCATGCATTACCTTACCCTATATTCATAGGTACATACACAGACATGAACTACTGGTCCATGACAACTTTTAGTTCTTTAGTTCAAGGAAAACTGAACTAATAATTAACAATAAATATCCTTGTACAAAGAGAGTGCAAAAACAGTTTTCTAATGCAGAAGCTCACATTAGTCATCTCCTGCAGTAAGAAATCACGAACAGCACCTTTATTCATTAGGACCTCAAAAACAGTCTGATAACAAAGAACACTTACAAGGTAGCTAACACATCACAGAGAATTCTTACAAAGTAGCTAACACATGACAGAGCATACTTACAAAGTAGCTAACACATGACAGAGCATACTTACAAAGTAGCTAACACATGAAAGAGAATACTTACAAGGTAGCTAACACATCACAGAGAATTCTTACAAAGTAGCTAACACATGACAGAGTATACTTACAAGGTAGCTAACACATCATACAGCACACTTACAAGGTAGCTAACACATGACAGAGCATACTTACAAGGTAGCTAACACATGACAGAGCATACTTACAAGGTAGCTAACACATCATACAGCACACTTACAAAGTAGCTAACACATGACAGAGCATACTTACAAAGTAGCTAACACATGACAGAGCATACTTACAAAGTAGCTAACACATGACAGAGTATACTTACAAGGTAGCTAACACATGACAGAGTATACTTACAAGGTAGCTAACACTTACAAGGTAGCTAACACATCACAGAGCACACTTACAAGGTAGCTAACACATCACAGAGCACACTTACAAGGTAGCTAACACACAATACAGCACACTTACAAGGTAGCTAACACACCATAGAGCATACTTACAAGGTAGCTAACACATCATACAGCACACTTACAAGGTAGCTAACACATCACAGAGCACACTTACAAGGTAGCTAACACATCACAGAGCACACTTACAAGGTAGCTAACACATCACAGAGCACACTTACAAGGTAGCTAACACATCACAGAGCACACTTACAAGGTAGCTAACACATCATACAGCACACTTACAAGGTAGCTAACACATCACAGAGCATACTTACAAGGTAGCTAACACATGACAGAGTATACTTACAAGGTAGCTAACACATGACAGAGTATACTTACAAGGTAGCTAACACACCATAGAGCACACTTACAAGGTAGCTAACACATCATACAGCACACTTACAAGGTAGCTAACACATCACGCAGCACACTTACAAGGTAGCTAACACATGACAGAGCACACTTACAAGGTAGATAACACACCATAGAGCATACTTACAAGGTAGCTAACACACCATACAGCACACTTACAAGGTAACTAACACGTCATAGAGCACACTTACAAGGTAGCTAACACATCATACAGCACACTTACAAGGTAGCTAACACATCATGCAGCACACTTACAAGGTAGCTAACACATCACAAAGCACACTTACAAGGTAGCTAACACACCATAGAGCATACTTACAAGGTAGCTAACACACCATACAGCACACTTATAAGGTAGCTAACACACCATAGAGCACATTTACAAGGTAGCTAACACACCATACAGCAAACTTACAAGGTAGCTAACACACCATAGAGCACACTTACAAGGTAGCTAACACATCACAGAGCACACGTACAAGGTAGCTTACACACCATAAAGCACACTTACAAGGTAGCTAACACATCATACAGCACACTTACAAGGTAGCTAACACATCATACAGCACACTTACAAGGTAGCTAACACATCATAGAGCACACTTACAAGGTAGCTAACACATCACAGAGCACACTTACAAGGTAGCTAACACACCATAGAGCATACTTACAAGGTAGCTAACACATCATACAGCACATTTACAAGGTAGCTAACACATCACAGAGCATACTTACAAGGTAGCTAACACATGACAGAGTATACTTACAAGGTAGCTAACACATGACAGAGTATACTTACAAGGTAGCTAACACACCATAGAGCACACTTACAAGGTAGCTAACACATCACAGAGCACACTTACAAGGTAGCTAACACACCATAGAGCACACTTACAAGGTAGCTAACACATCATACAGCACACTTACAAGGTAGCTAACACATCACACAGCACACTTACAAGGTAGCTAACACATCATACAGCACACTTACAAGGTAGCTAACACATCATACAGCACACTTACAAGGTAGCTAACACATCATAGAGCACACTTAAAAGGTAGCTAACACACCATACAGCATACTTACAAGGTAGCTAACACACCATACAGCACACTTACAAGGTAGCTAACACACCACAGAGCACACTTACAAGGTAGCTAACACATCACAGAGCACACTTACAAGGTAGCTAACACATCACAGAGCACACTTACAAGGTAGCTAACACATCATAGAGCACACTTACAAGGTAGCTAACACATCATACAGCACACTTACAAGGTAGCTAACACATCACAGAGCACACTTACAAGGTAGCTAACACATCACAGAGCACACTTACAAGGTAGCTAACACATCATAGAGCACACTTACAAGGTAGCTAACACATCATACAGCACACTTACAAGGTAGCTAACACATCACAGAGCACACTTACAAGGTAGCTAACACATCATACAGCACACTTACAAGGTAGCTAACACATCACAGAGCACACTTACAAGGTAGCTAACACACCACAAAGCGTACTTACAAGGTAGCTAACACACCATAGAGCATACTTACAAGGTAGCTAACACACCATAGAGCACACTTACAAGGTAGCTAACACATCACAGAGCACACTTACAAGGTAGCTAACACACCATAGAGCACACTTACAAGGTAGCTAACACACCATAGAGCACACTTACAAGGTAGCTAACACATCATACAGCTCACTTACAAGGTAGCTAACACATCACACAGCACACTTACAAGGTAGCTAACACACCATAGAGCACACTTACAAGGTAGCTAACACATCACAAAGCATACTTAAAAGGTAGCTAACACATCATACAGCACACTTACAAGGTAGCTAACACATCACAGAGCACACTTACAAGGTAGCTAACACACCACAAAGCGTACTTACAAGGTAGCTAACACACCATAGAGCATACTTACAAGGTAGCTAACACACCATAGAGCACACTTACAAGGTAGCTAACACATCACAGAGCACACTTACAAGGTAGCTAACACACCATAGAGCACACTTACAAGGTAGCTAACACACCATAGAGCACACTTACAAGGTAGCTAACACATCATACAGCACACTTACAAGGTAGCTAACACATCACACAGCACACTTACAAGGTAGCTAACACACCATAGAGCACACTTACAAGGTAGCTAACACATCACAAAGCATACTTAAAAGGTAGCTAACACATCACAGAGCATATTTAAAAGGTAGCTAACACATCACAGAGCATTTTTAAAAGGTAGCTAACACATCACAGAGCATATTGAAAAGGTAGCTAACACATCACAGAGCATATTTAAAAGGTAGCTAACACATCACAGAGCATACTTACAAGGTAGCTAACACATCATAGAGCACACTCACAAGGTAGCTAACACATCACAGAGCATACTTACAAGGTAGCTAACACTTAGAAGGTAGCTAACACACCACAGAGCACACATACAAGGTAGCTAGCACATCACAAAGCATACTTAAAAGGTAGCTAACACATCACAGAGCATACTTAAAAGGTAGCTAACACATCCTGGAGCATACTGAACAGGTAGCTAACACATCACATAGCATACTTACAAGGTGGCTAACACATCACAGAGCACACTTACAAGGTAGCTAACACACCATAGAGCACACTTACAAGGTAGCTAACACATCACAGAGCATACTTACAAGGTAGCTAACACATCACAGAGCACACTTACAAGGTAGCTAACACATCACAGAGCATACTTACAAGGTAGCTAACACACCACAGAGCATACTTACAAGGTAGCTAACACATCACATAGCATACTTACAAGGTAGCTAACACATCACAGAGCATACTTACAAGGTAGCTAACACATCACAGAGCACACTTACAATGTAGCTAACACATCACAGAGCATACTTACAAGGTAGCTGATGGTGCAGCTTAATGGTAGCCACACAACCAGAGAGAAAACCATCACAGTTCCCACAATGTTACTTTTCATGAAGGCCACTAGATATAAAACATGACATATGACAACCTGAACATTATATAACTTTTTATTTTTATCTTACAGTCTGGAGCTAGGAATTCTATGATCAACACAGCACAGGTTTTTATTCTTCTGTGTTCGCCCTTGACAAACAGGTTGTTATAATTGTGTTGTGGTTTACAGCCTGGCTATGACATCTGCAATGTTTGTCTAAACACATCATATTACAGCAAACTCTCAACTAGCCATTTTTTGTTGTTGTGGGCATGGGTCTATTTTTTTTTTCTCCCATAAAATGGATCCCAGAAATCAACAGGGCAAAAAATTATTTTTTAAAATTTATTCACTTATGATTGTGGCATTCTTTTTTCCTTGAAACAATGGTACTGCCATCACCATGAGCCGATCACTTTTACCTTTTACGGGTTTAATCAATTTACCGACTAATGTGGTCTTCACTGCAAAAAGCACTCTGGCTTCTCTGAATTCTTCGGAACTTCTACAACTCCAGTAGAATGTGTAACCTGCACCAACCTTGCAGAGTTCGCCCTCATCTACCAAGTTCTTTCCCAATCAGGGCGGTTTGTCTTTCCGGCACAAATGCATTTTCTATATCCAGGAGAGTTCACACATTCCACGCATCAAATTTTAGTGGTATATCACGAGTCTTTCATTTTCATTTTTGTCGATTGCAAAAGATGGGTTCCCTCCAGCCGCGGTATGATGATCGGGACATGGTGGAGCAGGCAATTTTTAGGGCACCATTTCTAGCCCTTTCCTCAGGCCATGGAGGTGAGCAGTGCTTTCCCAAAGAGGGCTGCTCAGTCGCTCAGGGGGCTGCCGAAGTCCACTACTGCTCCTATTAGTGGACAGCAACCATATGGCCTGAGCTGCCTGTGTGCAGGTCTGTGGCTACTGCTGCCAAAGTAATCCACCTCTCCTGCTTCATCGCTCAACCATTGCCACAGGACAGTCTTTGCATGCAGGTTACGCATATCCTAACCACTTAATGGTTTATAACTAGGTCAGCTATCGTCTCCTGGTATGGCCAGGCCGACAAAGCTGTTGCCAAGGGGTGGCCACGTCGCATGCTGACAGCTCAACACATCTAAAATCCGACCAAACAGCCATCTAAAAAGTGAAACGAACTGGCCACCCCGTATTACCATCCATCCACTTATGAACTATCTAAAGCACCTCTTACCAAATGTACTAGCATGCTCTATAAAGTTAAACACTGCACTCACCAAATGTACTAGCATCCAAATGCTCTATAAAGTTAAACACTGCACTCACCAAATGTACTAGCATCCAAATGCTCTATAAAGTTAAACACTGCACTCACCAAATGTACTAGCATCCAAGTGCTCTATAAAGTTAAACACTGCACTCACCGAATGTACTAGCATCCAAATGCTCTATAAAGTTAAACACTGCACTCACCAAATGTACTAGCATCCAAGTGCTCTATAAAGCTGAAAAGCCTCTGAATCATGTTAGCACTGGCCTTCTGGCACTTTCCAGCCTGTGGGAAAATTAAAAGAAAAAACAAAAGCTTTTTCCTTTACTTCTAATTTTGCTTTGTTAGTATTTATGCTTTACTGACTATAGCATATGTAGCAATCAGTGTTTATGCTTTACTGACTATAGCATATGTAGCAATCAGTGTTTATGCTTTACTGACTATAGCATATGTAGCAATCAGTGTTTATGCTTTACTGACTATAGCATATGTAGCAATCAGTGTTTATGCTGAAAAATATGTTCACACAGTCTGTTATTCGACAGCTGTGAAGCTCATTGGCTTTTATAGCTAACATCAAAGGAAAACCCATGAAGAAAGACTGGTGCTTTTGCCTTGACTGCAAGTAGTCTGATGATGGAGGTCACTGCAGAAACCAAAGCAACAATCTGGCTGAGATGCAGAATTTAGACCAAATGTGCTTTTCTGGTGATTCAGTAAGTATGCTTAGTAAGACTGAGATGGTCTGGGCTCAAAAACAGCGGCTGGAATCTCTGAGAAAGTCCCAAATGATGAAGAACAGATTCATTTTTGTGTCAGGGCATACAGGAGCAAAAGGAAATGAACAAGCTGAGAGCTTTGTGAACAGGGCTACTGTGGAAAGCGGACAAAAAGTGAACGGACTTGATATATTGAATGCCATCGGAGAGGCATAGCTACTAAAGGAATCAAATGGTCGCCAGCCTCTCAGTCAGATCCAGTTCAACTTCAAAGAAAGTGTGATCTTATCTATGTTAGCCAGGTGCCCAGCTGAAAACCTATTTCTAGGAATGAGAGCTGCAGATAGCTTCTGACCAGTAAGTTCCTTGGTTCTGGTACATCACTACATGTGGTTCAGCACCTCTGCATCCCCAACAGCTTTTTAACATGGGCAGTTTGGACATAACTCCCTTAGGTTTTCACATTTATTTAAGAAGCCTTGGTGTCTGATACCCTATCCCAGGATCAGAGGATGCAATATATTACAGCTCACATCATTTTTGTTAAAGACCTATGGAAGAGCAGTGGCTATCCTGCTTACCTGATGAGCTGTGAGCAGCGTTCTGAATCCCAATTCAGCCAGATACAAATATTTACCTGAGCTGGCGGTTCATGTTTTTCTTCTTACAGATCCATGAAGAGCGGCTGGCCAAACGGTTAGAATGCTGGGCTCTCAAACCGGGAGACCCGGGTTGGAATCCTCGGTAAGTCTGGGGATTTTTTTTCTGTCGGGGGCAAAATGAAATCCTCACGCACACAGTCGTGGCGACAGCACTAGCCATGAGGACGTAAATCCTCAGGCTCAAAGACCCCCCTGCCTACACCACAAAAGTGGTACAATGAAGATAGTAATTGGTAGTTTTTTATAGATCCATGCCGTGTGGTGTTGGTAGTCATGTCAATCTACAACCTTCTGCCCAGTGTACTTTCAATAAATTCTGACACAGATGATCTTCTATCGATTGCCAAACTGTCCAGCATTTTCTCCCTTCTTTTTTTCCCTTCAAATTTCCCACTGTCACAATGTACTCGTTTTCTTCTTCTCAGGACATGAAAAAGAAAGTAGACTGTCTTCTTCTGATGTGGATAATTAGTTCTCTTTCTGAGTCAATTTCGTCTAAGTGCTCATTACTCTATCACTACACTCAGAGGAAAGGCAAGACGGATATTTAACCAGATTGTGACTGGTACCATCAGTATTGGAACTCTGTGCTGGCTGCTGAAGATGAGGACGAAGCATGCATGGGAATGCCCTGAGTGCTGTGATGTCAATTCTTGACTCAACTCAATACTCTATTTTATCTGTTTACTTACAAATTATTTTTCACTAATCGTTCAACTATCCAATGATTCCCTTCCATATCTCAGCAGTGGATTTATGTAGCTCTTGAGAATTGTCTTTCTATCTCAGCTGACAAAGAAAGGATGTTCTTCAGTTGGTCAAATGCTGCCTTTGCTTGAGCTATTCTAAATTTAACTTCTTTAATACATCTTCAGTCTGCTGTTACCATGGTACCCAAGTACTTAGATGCTTGCAGGTCAACCCAACCTAAAAATCTGTACCAGGAAATATTCTGGGAAGTAAAGGTGGCAAGCATGATACTGATAATATTACCAATAACAGAAAAAAAAAATATAAAATACATTTTTTTAAACCTGTTCCTTACTTCACAGTATCCATACAGGCAAGGTCTGCCGTCCTGTAAGTTGCTCTCAGAGCTGGAACTGTTCAATGGTTTGCATGGTTCTGTCAGGGACCTACAGCAGCGTAAGCAGGAGCTGGCTGGAAGGGAATCAGAATAATTATATAATCTGTGATCACAGTGTGAGACCTACTGGCAATGATCACTGATCACGTATACAAGACTTTTGCAGTGATTCTTGAACTCAGGAAATAAGAGAATTCCCATGAGTTCAAGAACTGAAGAAATGGTATGCTACCATGAAAGACATTAATCCAAGAACTTAAGACATGCTACTGTATCTTGTAGCCTGAAACATATTATTTCAAGAGCTTCTTCTTCCTCTTTTGCATTCAGTGATCTCATAAACTCCATTATAAATTTTGACTGTTCATTCACATTTGGACTTTGGTTTTGTTTCAGACTTCAGTGTTGCACACACGTCCACTTTACAGGCCTAGATATTTGTATCCACACAGTTGGGCCTTTGTCTCTAAGGCTGATGTGCTCCACTCTGAAAGTCTTTTCTTTGCATTCACCCTTAAAAAGGTTGGCCCGTTGTAATGCATTTTACTGCCAGGCATTAATATCTGCACATTTACCTCCAACCCATCTGATTTTAGCAAACCCTCAACTAGTTGTTTTTACGACATGCTTTTTGTCATGAAGCTGTGGGTCTATTTCTTTTATCTCAAAAAAAAAAAAAAAAACCTTTAAAAAAAAAAAAAAAGACACACGGGGAGATCCTTTCTATAGAGTTATTCAAAATGACTGATGATACACTTTCATTTCATGATATTTCATTCAATATTCATTACATAATGATAATATACACACATGAGAGAGGGGAAGGTCTAAAGCTTACAAACTGACAACTGAGGTTATAGATGTTCAATTTGACAGCCGTCTGCACTCGGCAAAGATCTAAGCAGTTGCCGAACTCATCCCACACACAAAGAAGCATTTCATGCTTAAGTGAAATTACTACCGCCTTGATACGGTTCTGCAGGTTACACAACTGTGCTCTAATGGCATTATTTGAAACTTTAGACCTTTCCCTGACTTTGTTGTATGTATATTATTTGTATTCAATGTATATTCAAGGAAACATACAAGAATGAAAGTGTATTCAGCCTTTTGAATAACCCTGTATATGTTAGCAAGCTGCCTAGCTGGGCATCTGTTTCTTAAATGAAAATGGGAAGGTCTAGATAGGTCTGGTCCAGTTTCAGCCTTGATCCTGGTGCATCCCCACAATATGTTGTTGTTTATTTCTGCAGCCAAACCCAGTGGACATTCTAAAGACTATTTATGATCAAAAGCTGATAAAAGACATCAGGTCTTCTTCTTCTGCTTAGCGTTTACTGGCTGTAAGTTCTGGTAGTTTGTCCACTTCTGGACTGTTCCAGAAACTGTGTGTTGTGTGCACATCCATTTTACAGGTTTCTTGATTCTCAGGCAGATGTATTCCAGTTCTGAAGCAAGCTCCCAATTAGTTGACATTTACGACATGCTTTTGGACTAGTTTTCAAATGGAAGAGTCAAAGACATTTTGTGTGATATCCGCTGGCACAGGAAAGGAGCAATTGTGGTGATGTTGGAACCTCAACTCACTCACTCACTCACTATGTAAGGCATTTTAATCTTTTTCTTTCTTATTTTCTCCATTTTCTCTGCTTTTCAGCATCAAGTTGCCATTTACCATGAGGACTGGACTGATTTCTGTTTTTTTTTCTCTCATTTATTTAAGCTAGCTTGTATCCATTACTAGTGTGCTGAGCCTGATGCAGTTTTATGCAGTATTTAACCAGACAGATCCCATTTGCTTGGCAAGCCAGAGACCCATAAGTTCGAGACCTCAGAGCCTCAGTTTTCTGTTTTGTGCACCGCTTGGAGGTAGGCATGGCTTGGGTGTCCTATGGGTCATTGGTAGGCAACTAAATTTATCTCTTCACCCTTCCCAAGAACAAGCTAGGTAATCCTGACATTGCTGGCTAGCAGTGCCGGGTAGGTGAACCTCTCCAAGTTGCACCAGTAAATTTTATAACTTACCAAAATCTTCACAACGACAGGGTCTCAATATTTTGTTGGTCAGTCTTCCTGCATAGGCACAGTAGTCAAGGCAATGGCCACCAAAACATTTACCTCTGCAGATAAATTATATATGTTAGGCACTGGACAGCTTCTGTATGGAGAGATGGACATAAAGTGGACAGATATCATTAAAGTTTGCTTTCTATGTGTGTTATTGTATATTTGTGCTTCTGTCTATCTTTCTACTACATACAAGAGATGGACATAAAGGTAAAGTAAACCAGAGTACAGCCCCTTTTTATGCTAGTGGTGCATAGAGCATATGATGCCAGACTTGACATTTTTACAGACCGAACGGCACTCAGCGGGCGATGTGGTTAACATCAGACTATCTGCCTTTACTTCTCAGGATATTACCAGGTACTCATTTTAAGCTGGGCCGACCTGGGAGCCAAGGCCACTTTTGAACCAAAAATTTCAGATTCAATGTAGATTTGAACCCAAGACATTCAGGTTGACATGCTAGCATCTAGCCACTATGTTACTACATCCTCCAGACAGACGTAAAGTGAAAGATATATTTCACTTCCTGTCTTTCTTACTGCTGTTGTCCTTCATTTTTTCTGTCTTTTATGAATGATACAAAAAGGGATACATATTAACTCAACCTGACCGATGTAGCGCTTCTGCTGTAATTTCCTAATCTGCCGCTAAACAGCTGTACCTCATTGTCAGTAGTTTGCATACTAAATGATAAAACGCGTCACAAACTAAAAAAAAACAACCAATCGTGACCAAACCTCATGGTTAGTGACTGCAAATTGCTGCCTACGTGTGTTTGGATTTACTTTGTGTGGTTAAACATGAGAAAAATTAGGGAAAATTCACAATTAAATGTGCGACTGATGAACCAGGCCCTTCATCAGGAAAGTGAAGTGGGTCTAGGCTTTTCATAGTCCAACAGGTGATCCATACTTTGGTTGATTCAGACTCTGAGGAGTAAGAATTTCATGAAGAATATGTTTCCAGTTTAAAGTGACACAGTCAGTGAGAGCTCAAGTGATGAAGAGAATCTTGAAAATTATTGATTTAAAACTAGATGGATAGTAAGAGAAGGGGACGTGTCCCTCAAACAGCAACATCTGGTGCTCACTTTGTGAAACAAGGTTGATCCTGCTGGGTGGAATGGCACACAACGGTGGAAGATTGGCACTAGATGAAAGGTAAACCTATTTTCTACAATGTCTCCAAGTTTTATCTTATTCTCACCACTTGTTTGCATGTAACTAATATTTTTGTACATGTTGGTGTTTTCATGTCAATGCCCAGGAGCTCAGGTTATAGGGACAGTTAGGTTCAGGGCCTCAGGTCTGGTAGGGTTAAGCAGATGGAAGACAATTTCATTCTGTTTTAAAATCTTTCTGGCTTTTGAAAAAAGAAAAAGCAAAGAAACAAAACACATAAACAAACGAAATATTACCTGCTCAAACAAAATATTATTTACACAAACTAATTACTATTTTGGGAAATAAATAATATGTATATAAAAAAAATGTTTTACATACAAAATAAATATTATCTATGCAAAGTAAACATCTATATAAAACATACACTATCTACACAAACTAAACATTATTTATACTAATGAAATATTAACTAAACAAACTAAACTTTTCCTACACAAATTAACAGTTATCAAAACAAACTGCATATTATCTACACACATGATTTATTATCAATATAGAGTAAGCATTATCTACACAAACTAGACATCTACACAAACTAGACATCTACACAAACTAGACATCTACACAAACTAGACATCTACACAAACTAGACATTATGTACAACACATACTCATCAATGCAGGGGGTATTGTCTGCCAAGGGACTGGAGGATGGACAATACAGGCTGAGGCCACTGTGTATCAGGTTAAGAAAGAATACGCTAGCAAGTCTTACTGAACAAGGTATGATTATATAACAGACAAACAGTCAGATACATAGTTTCATTACAAACTCTATAGTCTCTCTCTCTCTCTCTCTCTCTCTCTCTATATATATATATATATATATATATATATATATATATATATATATATATATATATATATATATATAAGTAAAAGACTTTGTCCGTGCCCTCAGACATAACATATTAGACATATGGGGCTAGACCTATATTTAAACTTCCAGTGTAAACAGTCACAATGGTGGCACACTCTTTTATTCTGTTAAGGCCAGGGTGCAAAAGAGTGGTTGAGATGATGTGCTGCAGTTTACAGCTGGGCTGCGATATATGTGCCTGCCGGCTCATCACATACAATTTCAGGAAAACCCGATTTAGTTGGCTCTTACGACATAATTTTTAGGAGACTGTGTGTGTTTTTTTTCTGCAGGATGAGGCCCTGGAACCCACACTACAAGATGAGGCCCTAGAACCCACACTTCAAGAAGAGGCCCTGGAACCCACACTTCAAGATGAGGCCCTGGAACCCACACTCCAGGATGAGGCCCTGGAACCCACACTTCAAGATGAGGCCCTGGAACCCACACTTCAAGATGAGGCGCTAGAACCCACACTTCAAGATGAGGCCCTGGAACCCACACTTCAAGATGAGGCCCTAGAACCCACATTTCAAGATGAGGCCCTTGAAATCAGACTCCAGGATGAGGCCCTGGAACTCACACTTCAAGATGAGGCCCTAGAATGCACACGTCAAGATGAGGCCCTGGAACCCACACTTCAAGATGAGGCCCTGGAACCCACACTTCAAGATGAGGCCCTGGAACCCACACATCAAGATGAGGCCCTGGAACTCACACTTCAAGATGAGGCCCTAGAACCCACACTTCAAGATGAGGCCCTGGAACCCACACTTCAAGATGAGGCCCTGGAACCCACACTCCAGGATGAGGCCCTGGAACCTACACTCCAGGATGAGGCCCTGGAACCCACACTTCAAGATGAGGCCCTGGAACTCACACTTCAAGATGAGGCCCTAGAACCCACACTTCAAGATGAGGCCCTGGAACCCACACTTCAAGATGAGGCCCTGGAACCCACACTTCAAGATGAGGCCCTGGAACCCACACATCAAGATGAGGCCCTGGAACTCACACTTCAAGATGAGGCCCTAGAACCCACACTTCAAGATGAGGCCCTGAAACCCACACTTCAAGATGAGGCCCTGGAACCCACACTCCAGGATGAGGCCCTGGAACCTACACTCCAGGATGGGGCCCTGGAACCCACACTTCAAGATGAGGCCCTGGAACCCACACTCCAGGATGGGCCCTGGAACCCACACTCCAGGATGAGGCCCTGGAACCCACACTCCAGGATGAAGCCCTGGAACCCACACTTCAAGATGAGGCCCTGGAACCCACACTCCAGGATGAGGCCCTGGAACCCAAACTCCAAGATGAGGCCCTGGAACCCACACTTCAAGATGAGGTCCTGGAACCCACACTTCAAGATGAGGCACTGGAACCCACACTTCAAGATGAGGCCCTGGAACCCACACTTCAAGATGAGGTCCTGGAACCCACACTTCAAGATGAGGCCCTGGAACCCACACTTCAAGATGAGGTCCTGGAACCCACACTTCAAGATGAGGCCCTGGAACCCACACTCCAGGATGGGGCCTGGAACCCACACTTCAAGATGAGGCCCTGGAACCCACACTCCAGGATGGGCCCTGGAACCCACACTCCAGGATGGGGCCTGGAACCCACACTTCAAGATGAGGCCCTGGAACCCACACTCCAGGATGGGCCCTGGAACCCACACTCCAGGATGGGGCCCTGGAACCCACACTCCAGGATGGGCCCTGGAACCCACACTCCAGGATGGGGCCCTGGAACCCACACTCCAGGATGGGCCCTGGAACCCACACTCCAGGATGGGGCCCTGGAACCCACACTCCAGGATGGGCCCTGGAACCCACACTCCAGGATGGGGCCCTGGAACCCACACTCCAGGATGAGGCCCTGGAACCCACACAGGGAGTATTTATTTCTGAGTTCATTTAATTTTTTTTCAGGCAGCTGTCATGGCATAGCACCTAGACACCTAACTCCAGGCTCAAAGGCCATGGATTCAAATCTGTGAGTCAGATTTTTTTCAAAAAAGGACCTTGGCTTCCAGGTTGACCCAGCCTATAATGGGTACCAAGTGATGTCCTGGGAGGAAGATGGCCAATATGATGCTGACCACTTCGCCCACCAAGTGCTGATTTGTCTATGAAATGTAGATCTAACCCATTTATGGTGACCAGAAAAAAAAAAAAAACCCACTTCAAGGACACGCTTTAGGCATCACTTGAAGCCTTTAATACAGACCATGCCACTTGGGAGGCTGCTGTACAATACCAGACTACACGGTGATCGTCTATCCAAAGAGAGGCAGTGACCTGTGAGGATTGAAGAAAAAGGTCTGCTGAACAGCGCAAGGAGGCTAGAAAGAGCCGTATAACAGGTCCTTCAACTACAGACATATTTCCCTGCACTCACTGCTCTAGATCCTTCCAGGTTTGTACTGGGCTTATAAGTCACCTCCAGACTCACAGTCAACTATAAAGTTTTACAACAGAAGAAAGAAAGAGTGGTCCTCATCACGTGATGGATGAACAACAACAACAACAGGTCTAGCCCTATACACCAAACATGCCTAAGAGCCTGGACAGGGGTCTTTTGTTATTGTTCCAACTCTTTCATTAACCATATTGTGTTGATTCATCTACAGCATTATGCGGCCTGCACCAGATGTCAAAAATGCCTCAATGTATGCAGATGCGCCCTTCACTTTTTTACCAAACTTGTATGTACTTAATATACAATGAGTTATGAGTTAAATTATCTTCACAACTCTCCGGACACATCCATAGGTGCTCATATCCCCTCCCCTCCACTCAAAATATTCATCAGTGTCACACCATTTACGGTGCCAGTCCTACGCTGGTTGACAAAACTTTGTGTGTGTCGGGTGTGCTTCTCATGCTTGGCTGTGCCGACCTTTACTCTAATTCTCGTATTCTTAGCAGTGATGTAGACATGTTGCTTCCAAAATCCTTGGAATGCCCTATCTCTCAGCGTGATCCATGGGCCCACCATCACTGTACTTAATGTACAATGGAAGACAGTGCAACAATGCCTGGCATATACCACAACATCTAGCTTGAGAACAGAGGTGCGGGCAGTCACTACAGCCTTCCGCTGGCTTCAAAACCAGCTGTAAACACATGTTGTGACTGTAGCAGACTTATAAAGCATGCTGAGATAGAGGTGGAGGCAGGTATGCTCTGTGCAGAGTGACTAGCATCACTTGATGTCCCGGGCAGTTGAGAGAATTTGAGATCAGGGGACCCTGCCAATGCTCAACACTTGGAGCTGGAAGGGGAAAGGAGGGGGGGGGGGGGGGGGGGGGCAAGACAGACATAACAATCACACTGTTACTGGTACCATCAAGATTGGAACTCTGCATTGTTGAACCAAAATGGGGACACAACACAGATGGGAATGTGCTAAGTGTTCTGATGGCAGCTCTAAAGACAAAACAACTAACTTCAACATGTACATTAGTCTGTATGTCCCAGCATGTGATAGAAAGGATACGTGCAAACAGCTGCTTCCTGGCATAACTCTCTGCTGGATCCTCTACAAAGAGTGTTCGCCGGGGCCATCTGGCAATCTTTACAGCATTCATAGTTGACAGGACTGGAACACATTCAAGTAACACAATTCCACCGCAGTAAAGAAAAATACAAAGAAAAAAAAAAGATGATTTAAAAACTAGTGTTGAAAAAAAAAAAGCAACAGTCTGATTGTGTTTAAAAACATTTAAACAAAAATATTTTACATAATCACTTGACCAGCTGTTTCTCATCACTTATGTGATGTGTCAATGGTGTGAAAAAAGGCCCTTTAGGTATTTTGAAAATTAACTCTATCAGACCCAAAAGAAGATCACAGCAGATGCCTGATGAAGCAATAAGCATAAAATAAATTTACGACTGTGGCTTAGGTGTTGCGACTGCACTTCGTAATGCCGGGGTGCTGGGTTCGATCCCAGTTGCAGATGGTTTGTTTTGCGTTGGTTTCGACAGTGGTACCAAGAGATGACCGTTCAGCAAACAATGGCTAACTACTGAACGTAAAAATTTGGCTAGATAAAAAAAAAAAAAAACTACAGCAGCCAAAAAATGCTGTGGTTGGCTCTGCAACGCCCTGTACTGGATGCACAACTAACTTTATTATACTGCATCCACAGGGCCCCAATACACAACACATTGTGGGTGACTTGTGCTGCTGGATTGATTTAATTTGCCTGATTAAACTTAAGATGTACCTATCAAAGATGCAAACAGCAGGGGAATGGAGAGTAAGAAGCAAAAAACGAAATTCATAATCTGTCTAAATCACCACTGATCACTGACATCATGAGAGCTAAAAGAGTGAAACAGCTGGGGCATATTGAGAGAATGTCAGATGATAGAGAGGTAAAACTGTGTACACAATGGACCTCAAGGGCTCAGAATGCTGAACACGAATAAGAAGAAACTCAAGATGTAGAAGTATACACAATATGTTGACAGGTGTACATGAGTTATATCCAGTACACATGGCCCGTTGTTTGGGACAATAGACACCTACCTGCAGGTGGCATTTCCTATGAGCTTGCAGCTGGCAGAGCAACACGAGTCCAGCCCGCTGAGCCCCATCCCACCGCTGTCACAGTCCTCATCCTTGTCGATGATGCCATTGCCGCAGAAAGGCAAATTCGGTGTGAGAGCTGACGAGAGCAGAATGAGATGGGGAAAATAAAATCAATTCTGCTTAAAATCACTGAAATATTGTCTATATAATAAACAAACAGACAATGTATTGATCAGCACTCACAGAAAGAAGTAGAAAGATAGAAGGAAACACTAGACAGCAATAAAATTAAAATCTATAGTTACCGTGCCTAAAATGCTTCAAAGTAAATGCTTGTGTTGTCTTATATATTATATATATATATAATATATATATATATATATATATATATTATATATATATATATATATATATATATATATTTATATATTCTTTTCTTTCCTGGATTGCAATCTCTAGGATTACAAAGCATCTAAAGGATGAGAATCAGACAGAAATAAATCCCAGGGACTCTGTTCAGCCGTATACAACGGTTATATTGGAGCACCGGTTACGCATGAAGTTGTAGTTTAATGTGGATGACTTTGAACTCTGCTCACAATAACCTTCCATTAGCAGTTGAAAACTATAAAGACTAGAGACTGTAGTTGGAGCTGCAGTGGAAACATTTGTGTAATAAGATAATCATGTGAGAGTGGGGGGGGGGGGGGGGGAGTATGAGTGTGTAGTTGTATGTGAGTAGGTATATGTGCGCCCATGAGTGAGTGTTGTCATGGGTGAGATATTGTGTGTGTGTGTGTGTATTGGTGTATGTATATGTGGGTGGGTGTATGTGTTTTTTGTGGGTGGGTATATGTGTTTTTTGTGGGTGTGTAGGTAGGTGAATGGGTGTGTGTGTGTGTGTGTGTGCATGGGTGTATGTGAGTGGGTGGGTTAGATAGTGCATGGGAGACCTTAGAAATAGTGTGTATATAGTCTGTATGTATGTTTATGTACACACACACTTTGTAGCACAGAAGTAATTCACCTGTGTGTGTATGCCTGCAGGTGAGTGTGCGTGTAGGGTGGTATTCCACATTCAACATTCTTTCACACACACATACAAAGAAAAGAGAGAAAGAGAGAGAGAGAAAGAGAAAGAAAAAAGAGAGAAAGAGAAAAAGACAGAAAGAGAAAGAAAGAGAGAGAAAGAGAAAGAGAAAGAAAGAGCAAGAAAGAGAGACAGACAGACAGAGAGAAACAGAGGATGACAAATAGATATAAGCAAAATATGAACAGAACAAGTATGAAAAGCCTGCACACAACAAATTAATTAGAAGCATTAATAAGCCAAGGACAAATGAATACCCAAGCAGATCTAGCATAAAAGTATTCAATGAAAGATAAGTGAACACATTCTTTCAAAATACGTGTCAGGTCAAGTGCAGAATACATCTGAATTACATATGGTCATCTAAAACGTATCCTATGTTTATTCAAAAGTTAAAGATATCAAACTAAATGAAACATAGAACATTAACAAGTGTGATGCCCCTATGAAATAGTTTTTTTTTTAAATCTGTAATCAATATAATTATTTAACAAATAGTGTTACAAAGTTTATGCTATTTTGATTTCAGTAAATAGACCTCTTTTTTATTTTTAGGGTTAAACTATAATCTAATAAATAGTTTTTTAAAGTATCATGTCATTATAAGCTATATAGTAAATAGTCACTTTTTTGGGGTTAAACTAATTAATAAGTAGTTTAAAAAAATTGTGCCATTATAAACTATTTAGTAAATAATCACCTTGCGATACTATATAAATAAAAATAAGCAGCTACTTAAACTATACTAAAAAAAAAAAACCATTATAAACTATTCAGTAAATAACCCCCTTAAAACACTAAACAAATAAAATAGGCAGCTACTTAAGCTATACTAAAAATATTACACCATTATAAACTATTCAGTAAATAATCCCATTCAGTTAGTTAAACCATTTTATTATATATATATTATATATATATATATATATAATAGATATATATATATATATATATATATATATATATATATATATATATATATATATATATATATATCCTAAAGACCATTTAATTAAAAAAAAAGCATTTTTAAGCCCAATTGACACAGTGTTTTGACTGAGAAATTCTGATTTGCCCAAAAGTGCACGTTGTTTTAATTGTATGTATCTCACATATTGATTCGCATATTGCCTGCTACTAGTTTTTAAAATGTGTGAAACTATATTTACAATATTCAGGAAACGTTACTCTAATGTTTTTACTTGTTTAGTCTTAGTTTAAACATTTAGGTGCAAAATCATTGAATGTATTGCGAACATCATTTTCAGACAGTGAATTTTCCAATTTTATCTTTGACTAACCATAGATGCCAATGTTCAAACCATATGTCTTTTTTTCTTCTTCTTCTGCCTTTCTGACCCCCGATGGAGCATAGGCCCTCAACCAACTCTAAGAGTCGTGCTATCTTTTGCAATTGCATGAAGCTCTCCCCATGTCCTCCCCATCTTTTCAACTTCACTCTCCAACTCCTTTTTCTGGTTTTTTTTTTTTGGTCTTCCTTTAATTCTATGCCCCTGTGGGTTCCAGTGCAAAGACATTATAGTTAGATTAATGCACATGTACAGGTCGCAAAAAGTGCCTTTCTGTGGGTTAAGCTCTGAAACTGTTTTAGTCAGATGCTTTTAATTCTGATTCTGATAATGACAAACTTAAATTTTTTTGGAAAGTGAAACAGGCAGTGAATTCACACCAGCTGCAGCCGAGAGGTCAGCTGTTCGAGAATCGAGCAGTCCTGATGAGTCTCACACAGAGAGAATGTTCCACTGCTGCCACATTTAGGAGGTAAGAGAAGGAAAGGGGGGAGGGGGAAGAATTGAACAAGCTCTAAAAAAGGTATTCTCAAATTTTGATTTCACAGCTCTTGTGGCTGCAAAACCATGGTAAATGAAGAATATTTTTCAAAATTGTGTCTTTATAAACACAGCACCTGCTTAATTTTTTTTCTATCAACTATAACAGCATGAGACACTGACATATTATTTAAATTCAAAATGTAAATTCGTTCCTCTTTAAAAAAAAAAACATGTGTAGGGATTTTTATTATATTAAATTCTCTATTATCTTTACTTTACACCTCCCTCTCTGCCATTTTTGTAAAAGGATATTAAATGCGAGTCAAGTCTGTCACAATTCATGGGCCTGAAAATGCAAAACTATGATGCCATCATAAACTCATCAGTAAATAAACTTTCTTGTTAGTTATACTATGATAAATATTTAAACTATCTAAACTATACTAAAAGTTTGATACAAATAAATATTATTATAAATTATTCAGTGAATAATCAAGTTGATGTTATTTACATAGTGAAACATATTTATCCTAAAAATATGACAATGTTGAAACTATTCAGTTTAAAAAGATAATCTTTCTTTTAATTGAAACTATGAAATGTATAACAGCCTTAATTAAGTATACTATAAAAGTATGAAGCTGTTAAAAAATAGTGAGTAAACAATGCAATGTTTCTGTTAGTCGTTTACTATTAAAAATACAATTACCAAACTAAGCTAAATTTTTGGATGCCTTTAAAAACTATTTGTTAATCACTTTGTTGTTTTAAATATGTATGTATTTTAAGATAATTAAAATGAATGCTGCCTTATAACCTATTTATCCTACAACCATTCTCAAAACAATGAAAAAATCATCTGTTACTAACATTAAAACTTAATTTTCTTAATAAGTAAAAATTCTGTAGAAGAACTCAAATTCAGATAAGTGATTTTTGTGTTTTCCTGTTTGTAATGTAACATTATTCCCAAGTTATAAGCTGATGAAGGCTTCCATTTTAAAAACAAAAATATCAGCCGTCACTAACTTTAAAACTTCACTTTATTAACACTTAAAACTTCCCTGGAGGAACTCAACTTACATGGTATTTTTCTGTATTCCTGTTTGTAATTTAACATTACTCCTAAGTTATACGCTGATGAAGGTCTTCTAGCCACAATGCTCATTTGCCATTTGTGCTTGTGATAATGTGAAGCTTACTGTATCTACTTCTAGTTTTGACTGATTTCTTTCAATGACATTAAAACTAAAGGTTCTGATAAATATACAAACTGAACATTAAATTCTATCACTTACAATTATTAATCCATATATGAGTAATGCTGAAATCCTACTGCCAAAAGGCAGAAATACATTTCAGAATTTATTACCAATTCTTAAATTCACCATAAACTATTAAAAGTATGACTATTCTAAACAATGGACTAGTTATGTCCTCACAATAAACCATTCATTATTTAACCACTAAATTGTCTACAATTCTTATTCATTATGTAATCATCCTAAATAATCTTTAATATTGAGAAATTCTATTCCAAAAGTTTAATGTTGAGTGTTTCTATTTCCTATGAACCACTTCTGCCGTTAAGCGTCGTGGGGAGGAATAATTTGTGATCCAGTGCGCACTGGCTGCCACTGGCTATTGTCATGCCATGAAAACGTAGAGTGTTTTTAATGCTGTCAATTTATATTTTTCACGACCATCCTTATGCTCTTGTAGCTGATCTTCTGAGATGTAGTGCTTGTGATGGTATCTGATCTAGCTGCATTCTACTGAGATGGCCAAACCACTTGATCTGCTGTTTCTTGATGAATCTAGTACAAGGTGTCGTTTCCACAATCTATCTGACAGTATCTTTGTTCACTTGATCTCAGATTGTAAAGGCTGGTCTACCAGAACATTTCTGCAGCAGTTTTCAGCCAGTGAATGTAAACAAGAAAAAAAAAAAAGACGTGATTTTCAGTTCTCTTGTCTCATGGTCGTTAACTTCATTTGTCCTCATTTCTTCGCAGGATCCCAACATCTCTTTTCATTTTACTTTATCCAGAAAGTCATAGCAGCTGCCCAAACCATCATAATGAAATCACAGATGAAATATTCTGATAGGGACCACATTTTGTAAAAACCAATATTGCCAGATTTCTTTAGTATGTTGTAACTAAGAAGTAAAATAACACTTGGAACATTGATTATTACACATGTAGGATATCCACTTATCAGGATAGCGACAATTATAGATATTAACATGTT